CCCAGAGTTGGGATGCAGTGCAATCTTAGATCCAATTGTACATTTACTTATGGACTTTGATTTTAAAATAATAATAATAAAACCCAGGAGTCTTCCACTAGAACCAACTTTGCCCTATAAACTGTTCCCAGAGTTTCCCAGAGCAGAGACAGCCCTCAGAGTGCAGGTGGGGCAGGTGCTCAGAAAAGCTGGAGAAAACCATCCTCCACTGGCTCTCCTTTCAAAATACATCCAGGAACCAACTCCATAGTCCCCACAGCTACTCCCCACCCCTAAGGCTCCATGACCCTTCACCTGCTGTCTGGTCACTACCCCACATCTGCCCTGGAGCCCCAAAACTGTCCTTCCAGCACAGCAAGGCCAAGTTTCATGACAAAACTGGAATGAGATCAAGTTACTCCTCTGCTCATTGCTCTGCTAGGTCTCCCCATGTTTCTTCGAGCAGATGCCAAGGACTCTGCTGTGCCACCACCACCCCTGCCCTTCTGCCACCCTAGCACCCCCACACAGAGACCCAGCTGCAGCCACTCTGGCCTCCCTGAGGCCACCAGGCACGCTGCTCTGCTGGCCCCTGCCCTCACTCTGTCCTCAGGCGGGACCCCAGGGCTCCCTTGGACCTTTAGTCCAGCCCCAGCCTATGAACGCTCACCTCCAGCTACCCCACCCTGAGCACCTGTCACACCTTGCCCTGCTTGCTTCCTTGCTCCCTGACATGCGCACCACACAACACTTTCCCCACGCATTCCGTCATCCGGCTGCCAGCGTTCCAGTAGAGCCAACACTCTTGTCCGTTTGTTTGCTGGTACCTAAAACATGGCAAGTGTTCCAGAAGGATCAATGGCAACATATGACAGGAAGAATTGACATCACACCTCAAAACAAGAGGCCTGAGAGAGCTAAAACCTCTTGCCAACACTGTAGCTGGCATACCCTTGGGGGCAAACCCTGGAGCTTCTCGTCTCTATTTTTTCTTGACAGCGGTTTCTCAAATGCTGTTCAGACTCTCCAAGCCTGAGGAATCTCAGAACAAAAATTCTTCGCTCAGCAGGCCGAACACACATGCCACCTCAAGCAGCTCTGCAAGTTCTCCTCCGACTGGAATGCACACACGTGCACACACGTGCAGTGCACACACACATCCCCAAAACGAAACAGTGAGTCTATTTTCCAGCTGACCTTCCAGACAAACCAACCTCCCGTGTCCTCAACAAGCATTATTTACAAAGTGATTTCAGAGGAACTCAAGTGTCAGAGAAGACAGACCCTACCCCACAGAAAATGTCTTTTCATCATCTTCCTAAACTGGTACCCACAGTCAGGCACCTGATGAAAGGAAAGAAGACCATTGCTGTTGATATCAAGTGGGACAAGGCACTGGGCTGTTTAATCATGCCATCAGCACAGTCATAGAAACCCTCCCCACCCACAAACAAACAGGAGCATCACCCAGTTCCTGACAGGTGACAGCAGGTGCCTCCCTCCCAGAGCAGAGCCACAAAACCCTAGGACTGTCAAGGTATTTGCAAATCACCTGATCTTCCTGGTCCTCCCCAACCCCCTGGATTTGGGAGATATGGAAGCTAAAATTGAAAAAAAAAAAGCCACCAGAACCCCAGGTCACAGGATCTCATGGCGGCTAAGTGAGTCTCAGGACACAGGGTACAGGAGCCCTTCACCAAGGGCCAGGCCTTCAAGGGGTCAGCCTGTGTGAGAAGTGTGTGTTTGCAGCCTGCTGAGAGAAAGATGTGTTTTTCTAGGACATGTCATTGTCTGTATCCCAGGGGAGGCAAGGTACTTTGGGAGGGTCTTTGTGAGCTGTGAAAAGCACAGGGCATTGTTCATACCCTGGCAATGGCAGAAGCGACCTCCATGCGGTCCGGGGTCCACACTTCTCTCAATGGTACTATTCAGGCCTGTTTTTGTTCGCTTCAGAAGTCGTTGGAAGCTATCAACAACAGAGGTGGCCCGAACAACCCAGCAAGTCTGCCAACAGACATGTTTATCGTTCCTAATTCACCATGACACAATATTTATTAGCTCTCACAGTGTGCCAAGAATCCGAAAACATGCTGTTGATTAATAAACAGTAATTAAATCGCACCACCTTATCCAGAAATATGGGGAGGTTCTGCAAGCCCCCTTTCAAAGCAGGCTAAAGAAACCCCATGGATGGACAAGCTTTCTTTCCAGAGGTGTAGCAGACAACCCGGGCACACACAGCACTGGGCTTCCTCCATCTCATCCTCCACCCTCCGGGGCCAGTCTTGACTGCCCTACAGCCAGCAAGCTCCTTGCTGCACAGATTCAACAGTCTTGGCCCCTCGGCCTCCCACCATCAGGTGCCTGCTCTAGCAGTACAGAGCCCTGGACAAGGCAGCTGGGGCTCAGACCACAGGGCCTGGGGAAGGGTGTGCTCCTCAGACCTGCGGAAAGCTTTATTTTTAAATTGTTTTTAACACTGGAAGCTGGCAGCCTTTGCTTCTTCCAGGGCTTTCCTGCCTGGGCTCTTAAAGACAGATGGCGAAGGTGTGACCAACAGGATGAGGGGAACTGCAGAGTATGCTGGAAATGAACTCCAACTGTCACTGAGGCCTTGGACTTCTGCTAGATTTCACTAGGAGACTGTGATGGGTTCAGGCTCAAGCCCCCATGCTGAGGGGACCAGAAATAATCACCGTATGGTTTCTTAGCTCAGGCCAAGGTCACAGGGCTTGGCCCGGGGGGTAGCAAGCATTCTGAACTTGGGACTTCTTGGAAAGTCCAAGGAGCCAAAAGGATGATATATGCAAAAGCTGGGGCATGTTCACAGAGAACAGACTTTACCTGAAGATTAAACTTGGCTTTCCAAATACTAAGAGTGTTCTGAAGAATCTGCAACTATAAGGCACAGAAAGCGGCTCAACCCCACCAGGATAACCCGGAGTAACGCTCCCTCACTTGGAACCTCAGCTGCCAGCGCTTAAAGGCTAGCAGGTGTTTGGCAAGTCACTTGCTCGTTTCCTTGACCTCAGTTTCCTCATTTATAAATTGGGAATAGCAGTAAATACCTATCTCTAAGATGACCATGAGTGTCAAATGAGCTAAGACATACTTAGCATAATGCCTAGCACTTACCCCATACTTCAGAGTGTCACCTTGATGACTATTATTACAACATTAGATAAAGAAATAACTAGATTGTTTTACTGCCTTCTTTTCCCTCTTCCAGGACAGCAGCCAGTCCTGCAGATAGAATCCTCTTGGAAAAGAGTTCTTTCCAAGTCAGAAGGCAATATCTGGGACCCAAAGAGAGACCCATGACCAAAGTTCAATGGAGCAGAGCCAGCAGCCAGCCTTCCCAGCAGAGGAAAGTGCAGCCCCAAACAACTCAGGATGGCAGGAGCAACTCCACGGAGCCCAGCAGCACACAGGAGCAGGCCAGGAAGCTGTGAGCAGGGCAGGGGACTGGTGCTCAGCAGAGGGCTAAGCCACACACAGGGACACAATCACACATTCTCCTCATCCAGAGCCACAAATCCTGTCCCGGGGGACAAGCAAAAGGAACCTGGGCATCTCAGAGTCACAACCCCAAAGCCGAACAAACCCCAATGGCAACTTGCAAAAACTCTGCACCAAAACTCATCCCCTTCATCAGCTGCGCAGAGAGGCAGCCCCAAATCCCTTCGGGTGTTGAGGACTTGTCCTCTCTGTTCTCATTTTGACAAAGAAAGCAGCTGGTACCCACAGGTGCCCGGGGTGGGGGCAGGCAGTGGCAGTGGCAGCAGCCTGAGCACAGAGAACAGCTACTCTGGCCCCTGGGGCTCGGCAGTGTGTGTTTTGGGGGGGTGCACAAATGCATGGTTGAGAAGGCTCCCCTCCTAAGCCATCTCTGGGGGACCCACTGCAGATACGGGGGTGGGGTGACAGAAGGTGACAAAACAAGTGCAGTGGACCCTGAGCATGGGCCAAAAGACAAGCTGGGTATGAGGCACCTAAGGAGGCACGGGTCTCAGCCAATACCTCCTGTTTTCCTGGCGTGGCCTCTCTAACACCTCCACGGACCCCTCATAGAGAGCACCCGTGTATACACACACACACACACACACACACACACACACACACACACACACGAACCACAGCTGGGAACTAAAGGATTCATGTGGCCAGACACAACTTGACTTGAGCTGCATGCAGCACTGCCTTCCACTTTCTGCCTACCCTGCCTACTCCAAGACGCACAAAACCCAACTCAGCGGCAGAGAGCGGACGGCTGTGGGGCCAAGGGGCTCACCCTGCGCAGCGTTCAGCCCATGCAGGTGCTTCTGACCAGTGCGGCTTTCCGCAGCCAAGCAGGGGACTGACGGCCTGGAGCCCCGGGGTCAGCATAGGGACCACACCGGAGGACTCTTCCCACTGCACCGGGAAACGCACCGGGTACGCAGGGATGAGGATCTGCCCACACGTGACCCTCCTGCACCGCGTGGCCGGCCACAAAGTCTTGCCTACACCGAGTACGTGCAAGATGCGGATCCCGCACCGACACCGGACTGGAAAGACGCCAAAGGGAATGGTCCCCAAACCCGGTGTCCACCCCCCCACACACACACACACCCCACTCCCTCGAAGCCCACGCAAACGGCGAGGGAAAACGCACATAGTCAGGACCCGAGCTCTGCCTATGGGCACGCGTGGAGCGAAGGGAGCCGGGAGGGCGGCGGCGGTGGCGGCGACAGCAGGGGAAGTGCAAAGTCGCTCGAGCCCGCGTGGGCTGCTCTCAGAAAGCCCAGTGCGCCCCGCCCCCACCCGGCGGGGGAGGGGGCACGCAGACCCGCACACCGGCCCCGGGGGCTCGGCAGGCGTTGGGGGCTCCAGAGGGACAGACACCGCCACCGCGAGGACACGGCCAACGGCAGGATTCCTGCGGCGAGGGAGGGGGTGGGGGTGCGGAGGAGCCGCCGCAACCACCTCCGCGCACTCCTCAGCTCCCGCCCCGCACCCCCAGCCCTAGCCCCCCGACTCACGTTCCCAGGGTCTCCTTGAACTCGAAGATCTTCTTGATGTCTTCGGCTTGCTTTTTCCAGGACGAGCTGCTCTCCCCGTTCTCCCGGGCCATGGCAGACGGAAAGCGCGGCGCGGAGGGCGGGCCGGGGGCGCGCTGGGGAGGGGGCGGCGCGGGGATGCCGGGCGCGGGAGCCGGGGTTCGGGCTGCGGCGGCGCTTCCTCTTCTGCAGTTTCCTCTTTCACTCTCGCCGCTGCCGCCGCGCTGCCTCCCGGCTCGTACTGCTGCTCGGCTCAGCACAGACTTCCTGCCGCCGCCGCTTGCAGGCTCCTATGCCGCCGCCTGCCAGCCTCACTTTCTGCTACTTTCTTGCCTCCCTCCCGCTCCCTCCCAGCCGCCCGCCCCGCTCTTTTCCTCCTCCCCTCCACCCTCCGCCACCCCACGCCTGCCCGCCTCCCCGCGGGCTCCCCGCCTCCCCGCGCGGCCGCCCTCGGGGATGTCCTGCTCCACGCTCCCCGGGAGCACCGAGCCCAGAGCGCGGGGGCGCCGCGCGCCACCTGCCCCTCACCCCCTGGCACCTCCTGCCAGCTCCTCTCCGAGAACCCGGGCCGGAGGCGCAGGTGCGGGTGCGCGCGCGTCGGAGTAGAGCGCCCGAGCCCCTAGGTGGCTTGGGGAGGGGGTTGGGGGGAGCTTTATTATGAGTCGCGCCTGGGGAAGGGGGGCTCCGGGGCTTTCCCTGCTCTGGCGGGATGGGGCGCCTCTGCGTGGCACTGGGATGCGTCGAACCCGAGTGGGTGGGGGGTGCACGGCCATTCGAGGCAGGGCGCTCACCCCGCGCGCCCCGGGGCCGGCAGCCCCTAGGCGGGGCCGGAGGGGAGGTGTTGGTAGGGGGAGGCTGTTGTTATGGCGACGGGCGGCGGCCGTGGGCGTGGACTCGAGCCCCGCGGCAGGCGCGCCGGGAGCCGGTGGGTCCCCTTCCCGACTCGGCAGCCGGAGCTAATTCGCATTGCACCAAAATGGGCCTCCTGACGATTGGGGAACGCCGATGGAAGAGCGCACCCGGGCGCCCTGGAGGCTGGCGGGCGGGCGGGCACCAGCGCAAGATCCGCAGCCCTTCGGAGCTTCGGAGGGGACGCCTGCGCACGCAAACTCCCGGGATATTTGGCGACCGCACGCCGAGAGGGGATGAGGGGACTGCGCGGCGGGGAATGCCCCGGCCGCGGGCCTGGGCGGGCCAGGCCGCGTCGCTTGCCCTTGTCGGTTCCTGGCTTCTGCCTGTCTGCGCCGGACGCTGCGGCCTCGGGCTGGAGCCTGGGACTCGGTGGACGGCTCCTACCCTGACCCTACCCTGAGCACCCAGAGCTCCCGAGAGGGCTGCCGCTCCCAACCCGCCGGCCGCTGGCTAGTAGGGCGCACGGGTGGCCGACTGAAAGGATTCCCCCGTCCCCCCCCTGGGCCTGGCACCTCGGAGGTGTTCTTTGGGCTCCCCAGGTTCCCGCAGCTGCTGGTGTCCACCTGTCAGAGTGCCTCGCACGTGCCCACGGGATGGTGGCCCACATGCAAGGACTACCTGCTAGTGGAGGGAAAAGGTCAAGTCTGGTTTCTCTGGAGACTTCCCCCGCCCTCGGGGACTCTTGGCTGAGTTGAGTAAACAGCCCTGTCTCTTGACTGGGGACACCTGTCCCATTTTCCCAGGACTGTTCCAGTTTCATTGTAAAAGGGAAGGGGGGGGCGGAAATCCTCTCTGAAAAGGAAACCTCCTCTAGCACTTTCTGTCCACTTGTACCCGGCTGGGTGCAGGCTGGCTGCCCTCCCTCCAGCCTCTTCCTTGACCCCCACCCAGGGGTCCCAAGGCAGCCTGACTTCCCCCAGAAGCCTTCTTAATAATGGTTAGAATTACAGATGAACACAGCAGATCAGATTTCCAAGAGGGATGGTGACAATTATTAAGGGGTTTCTCGATTTCTGGACACCTGGCCCAAGTGTCCCCACTCCCCCCCTTCCAGGAACACTGGGCCTTTCTGCGGCCAGGGTAAGATGGAAGGAGCTGTGGCCAGCTCCAACCCCAGCAGACACTCCCATCCGCTGCCTTTAGCACCTTCTTGTCCTTGTCTCCTTGCCTTCTCCCAACTCCTTCTCTTGCCTTCTCATCCTGTTCTCTTGATTTTGCCCCTGCTCCCTTGCAGAAGCAAGAGCCTTTGGGGGCTCTTGAGACAATCCTCAGCCTCTGCTTTTCTCCATAGAGATGAAGAAGTGCTTGTGGGACTGTAAGTGCAGGTCTCTCTCCTGTCCACTTCTTCCCAGCAGGACTGGAGAAGGTGGGCATCCCCTGGCACCTGCGACTTGGTTCCTAAGCTGTCTGCCTTATGCCAGCAAGAGACATGCTGCTTTCTAAGCTGTTTCTTATGTTTGTGGTTCTGATAGACAAGGAATTCGGTCTCCCGTATTTTCCCCAGTGATGCTCATTCAACAATAACAAGTGAACCCTGGTTGCATTAGGGCCTTGGGGAAGGACACAGACTTTGAATGGAGAGTTCAGGCCGTCAGACCCAGAAGAATGAAACACACACACATACACCCAAAAAAAAAGAAAGGAAAAAATTAGAAACCCAAAGTCAGACTCACTGGACTACGTGTGTGCTTTTGGACAGTTCTCCCTGACTGGACATCATGTAAGATAAAATCTCTTGATTCTGGGAAGTGCAAAAACAATAATGTTATTATTATAAAACAAGGTCATTCAGTCTGCAAGAATGGGTAACTCACAGCCCTGTAAACTTCTGCATTCAATTTACTTAGCCTGGGCCTGTTCGTTGGCCTGTTCGTTGACCAGTCCCCCAGCTCACCCAGAGGTACAGGTGACCCCTCTCCAGTCCTGCCTGCCTTCCACCCTGTACTCCACCATCAGACAACGATTGTCACTCCAAAGCTATCTGTCGCTCAGCGGTTCCATTGCAGTGAGCTCTATCACACCATCTGGATGACTGGAGGGTCAGGTCTGGGTCTTTCTACTTCCTTAGAGCCCTTAAAACTGGGACGCCCCCTCTCTCTCCCAAGAAGTAGCCCTATTCCTAAGCTGTCACTTGAGTCTCTAATTTCACGCCCACCAAACTGCTCAGCAGCCATCCCTCCTGCCCACACATTAAGCATTTATGGGTAGGTTCAGGGCTAGAGAAAATGGTATGGAGAGGCAAATATTATCTAAAGTGCATGCCCAGGTTCTGTTTGAAGCAGTCTGAATGTTTACCTCTATTCAGACTATCACACCTACAAAAAGAAGTTGGGAAAATAAGCTGGGGTGACAGAAAAACCAGACGCCTAAGAACCTAGCTCAAGTCCCACACCTGTCTCTAAGCTTGTTTAAGACACTTATCCTATGCCCCATCAGCACATACAGTACAGGTTGCAGAAGGGAGACTATACATAATCAGGTTTTTTTTTTTTAAAGAACTCCTGCATCAGTTGTTCATACGATGAACAGCTTATCTAAAATAGAATTACTTGGTCTAAAAACAAACTCCTTGGCCAGAAATGTATTGGTCAAAAACATTTTAACAAAGGAGGTTGCTTGGTTTTTAATTTTTTTAAGAAGATTTACCTACTTTACTTGAAAGTCAGTGTTACAGAGAGAAAGCAGGAAAGGCAGAGAGAGATCTTCCAAGCACTGGTTCATTCCTCAGATGGCTGTGATGGCCAGAGCTGGCCCAGCCCAAAGCCAGGAGCAAGGAGCTTCTTCCAAGTCTCCCAAGTGTGCACAGAGACCCAAGGCCTTCATCCATCCTCCGCTGCTTTCCCAGCCTGTTAGCAGAAAGTTGGATTGGAAGTGGAGCAGCCAGGACTCAAACAGTGCACATATGGGATACTGGTACCACAGGTGGAGAATTAGCCTGCCCACACCAGCCCCTGTATTTAATATTTGTCTATTCAAAAGGAAAAGAGAAGCAGGGAAGGGAGAGATAAAGAATATCCTCCTGTCGTTGGTTCAACACCCATATGCCCACAACAGCCAGGGCAGGGCCAAGCTGAAGCAAGAGCCAGGAATTCAATATGAGATTTCTGCGTGGGTGACGGGGCTCAGCTACTTGAGCCCTCACCTGCTGCTCACCAAGTGTGCATTAGCAGGAAGCTGGAATCAAGCACCGAGTTGCAACTTGAACCCAGGTACTCCAAAGTAGGATCCCCATGTCCCAAACAGCATTCTAACCACTAAACCCACACCTGATCATGGGTGACCTCATGAAGGTACACCCTATGTGGGGAAGTCGTTTACATAAGAAGACTTCTAAGAGAAAACATTTTCTTACTGAAACTTGGGCAGCCTTGTCTCCATTAAATGGATCACCTGACAACACTAAGCATTGGACCTGTTCTCACTAATGCTGCCGAAACTGCTGGTATCTGAACCCAGTGCTTCCAAGAGTTCCAGGAACATGTTTCCTACCTACTGATGATGAACAGAAGTTGTTGACAGTGACTGCCAGAATAACACCAAAGCAAAGTGTGAGGAGGAATCCTACAGAACAGCCTTCTGCCATTGCCGAAAGCACGCTGGTGATTGAGCCTGGGAACTGTAGACCTCTGTAGGAGAGGTGAAAAAAACCTTTGCCCACACACAGGGTAAGAAGCAAGGGAGTCTAAACTGAGATATACAGCCAGCCTGAGCGGTCTGACCCCCTCTCCTTAACCTGAAATCTTGCAAATAGCTACTGTTTCCAGAACAGCTCTTCTGCTTCAAAGGAGATGAGAACTGAAGGTGGGGGGCAGCACAAGACCTTTACAAAGTTTAGTTTTTTCCAATTCAAAAACTGATACAGGAAAAAAAACAACACCAATGTGCATGGGTATTTGGCCTCAGCAGCTAAGAAGCCCGAGTCCGGCTCAGAGTTCAGCGTGGTTCCACGCCATGTCCAGCTCCAGCACACTCTGCTCATGGAGACTCCGAGAACCAGCAGCAGCGGCTCCAGGGCTCGGGTTCCTGCCACAGGGAGACATGTTCTTGTATTCCCACCTCTCTGTAGCCTTGGCCTGGCCCAGACTGTCATTGCAGGCATTCGGGGAATGAACTAACACACTGAACATTCTCTTGTTCTCACTCTCCTCTCCATATCTCTTTTTTGCCCTGTCAAAAAATATTTTTTTTAGGAAAGAAAATTATCAGTAAGAAAAAAAAAAGGAACAAAGAAATGGGAAGACAAATGGCAGCACAAAATCAACACAGAAACCAGTTTTCCTGGCACCAATCCATCCTGCACAGCTGTTTTCTAGAGC